AGAGAGAGAGAGAGAGAGAGAGAGAGAGAGAGAGAGAGAGAGAGAAACAGAGAGAAACCTTGACAGCAGAATGTATGCATCTCATAGTAAGTAGATGCTTCTCTATCTGGATCTCCCTTTTCTCCCTTGGGACCATCTTTCCCATCTCTTCCATCTCTCCTGGGCAATCCATTTTCCACAGGGCCACATGTGATGAGAGCACAGGCATTTGAAACTTCTTTATTGCAGGAGGCTGTCTGCTCTTCATCTTGGGCAGCCAGGATGGGTTTGAAGAAGACCAATGCAGAGAGGTAGAGAAGGAGCATGACCGTTGACTCTGAGCCACAGTGGGAGAAAGAAGATGGATTCAACTCATCATCTGTTCCAGGACAGGGGGATGGACCAGTCTTAGTAGCAGCTTATGGCCAAAGAGTCTATTTTTCATTCTTGCTAAGGAGTGTTGATAGGAGGCATTTTTGAATGTTTTAGAAAGGTTGTGGGTGGGTTTCTCACTGGTCAAATGACCCTCTACCTATCAAATATCCTAACAAATCTATTCCCACTAGGTTGTATGTTTCCCCATATCTGCCTCTACTTTGGTCCTCCCTGAAGTAGAATAACCCCCAAAACTCAATTGGACAATGAAATACTCATGTTTCCTAGCCTCTTATAGGGGAGGGGAGGAAGTTTTAGAATGTGACTAAGAAGGACTGGCTCTGCTACTAAGTCAGTTTGTGACTTTGATCAAGTCACTTCCTTGAACATCAACTTTCTAATTAGGAAATAATAATATAGTCATTATTTTAGATGGTAAGATTCTCCAGATGTCTCTTTTTGGAAGTGACATTGTAATGACTTCATCAAGCTATCCTCAACTAGGGCCCCTAATCCCTTGCTACCACAGATGTTCTTCTCCATTCTGGAACTGCAACTCAGAACTAGGTAATAGGCAGTGGAGTTGCCAAACAGCATTGGGTCCTTTGCCTAGTGCTAGCACAGGGGTCTCTTGTCACTTCTTTTTGACCCATTGTTCAGTCCCCTTACTGTCTCTAGGCTGAAATTTCCCAAAGCTGCAGCTGCTGCTGCTACATAGCCACCTCCATGGCCCACAACTGGTGTTACTATTGCACGTGCTCTGGGCCACATCCAGGGCCACAGAACTCTCCTTCAGACCTCCTAAGTTACTTTAGACTAGAAAAATGACCAATCCTTATCTTTTGTTGGCTATACAACTCCAGAATTTGATTTGATGTGTTATTTTAAAGTTGTTTGGAGAAGAATGTTGGGAGAATTTGTCTGGATGGTTCCCTCTATTCCACCATCTTAGCTCCATAAACTAAAGATTTCATTAGTTTATTTTACCTATAGTGTTACACTACTAACTCAAGTTGAGTCAGGAAAACTCCAAATTCTTTTCAAACAAACTTTTATTTAGTTGAGCACATTTTGCTGGAAAGTTGAGAACAAGAGCTTTTTTTCCCCATAAATTGCATCCTATTTTACACAAATTTTTGATGCTCCATGGAAATCTTTTTGTTTTGGGTGGCTAATACAAGGAGTTGGACATGTACCATAATCTCTTATTGTCTTTTCTATATCTGAATCCACCTCAGTCCATCTGACAGAGCTCGTGCCCAATACTTAAATGTGAATAGTTCCCAGATGTACTGGAGGCAATGTGTCCAAGGTACTATGATCAGTAACTTCTGAAATTAGATTCTCCATTTAGGGGGAAAAAAACTTATATATGAAACATTTATGGGCAGAAAACTCATGTTCATGGTTTATGAGGGGTTTGAATAACTTGGACAATTTCTCTACTGGCTACCCATTCTACACCCAGTTGGTTTGACAGGCCAATCTAGGATCTTCAAACTTCAAAACATCAATATAGGAGGAATTTTAGGACAAAACAGAGAGCATGAATCTCACTTTCAAGAATTCTTTAAGATCTTCCTTTGGCTTTGGAATAGATACAACTTGATTTTTAAAAATATATCCCTTTTAATTTTGATATCAAGGTCATTTCCTGGTATCTCTTTGTCTTATTGAATTCCCCTACTGTTTATCTTCCTAATTTACCTATGCCTCTCAAAATCCCCACCTTCCTTCAAAGCTAAGCTCAAATGCTGTCTCCTAAATTAGATCATTTCAGATCTCTCCCAAATTGTTAGTGACCATTCCCTATAAATTACATAGGACATACTAAATCTCCTGATAGAACCTAAACTCCCTAAGGTAACAGACTGTTTATTTTTTACTTTGTAGCTCTAGCACATAGCACAATGCCTGGTATTGGTGACACATTTGTTTGGTGACAGCTTTTACTCTACTGCACTTTCATACATCTTATTTAGAATATATTGCTGCCTGCTCACATCCACCATGGGTCTCTACATTGTCTTTCAGGCTAGCTTTAATTTCAGTTCTTTGGAGACTGTGCTGTTCCATGACCCATGGTGATAAACCAGTGTAAATATCAGGGAGGTTTTTCACATGCCTAAATCACCTAGCATGGAAGCATTCTACTTCTAGAAGAAGACATCCTGCATTTCACTAGTATGTGGGTAGAAATACCCTTTTCCTAATGATAGTATAGTCAGGACTGCCTTTAAATACTACCACACTGGGACATTTTCTTTTTTCCAGTTCTATCAAGAAAAAGTGAATGTCAAAGTTCACCCACAGGAGGACACCACGAGCTGGTGGGGGAGGAAAGAGCTACCTTCCCTTCTTCTCCTCCTTTACCCTGTGGACCCAAGAAATGGTTTGGAGTTAGAGTTTTGTGCTGGATGGCTTTGATTCAGTCTTATGTGTAGGAGGTAGAATCCCCACTAGACATGGGAACTTGAGCCATGACAACATTGGAAGTATGATTCCAGTCTGGATATTCAGCCAGCCTACCCAGCAGGAAAGCTCTGAGAAGCCAGGGTATCTAGGACTTGAGCCCAAGTAGGGCTTTGGACTTGGAACTTGGTGGGAATATGGTGTATAGGAGTAAACTACTCCTCAGAGTTTCTTCCCCTCCTCAGAGACTAACATGATTCTGGGGAGGCTTATGCCACCAGATGTCAGGGGAATGTTAGTACATGTGCTCTTCCTAAATCTCTGAAGTAGATTTCTTTGTAAAAACTAATCTGATTGTTAATAAGTTAAATGGAACTGGGGTACAGAGTATCTTCCTACAATTGGGGAAATAACATTGGTATGGGCTGGAGCCAATGGCAGAACCTGGATTCCCCAAGCCCCTTAAGGGTGCCAGAGAACTCTAGGGGAGGGAGAAATATAACCTACCTGGCCTTTAAACAGTAGGGACCTGAGTAGTCATTGTTTTATGGGCACTAAGAGATATTGGTATTTTAAGCATTCTGAAAAGCAAATTGAAATTATACTAAAGAAAAAGAAGGTTAATTAAATTTTGATGCCCTTTGAACCATAGATCCCACTGCTAGGCATATACCCTAAGGAGGCTAAAAAAAGAAATGTCCCATATACATCAAAATATTCTTAGTAGCACTTTTGTGTCACAAAGAATTGGAAACAAAGCTGATGCCTATTGATTGAGAAATAGTTTAAAAAATTGTGGTACATGAACAAAATGAAATGTTACTGCATTGTAAGATAGGAAAAAAGTGAAGTATTCAGAAAATCATGGCTAGATTTCTATGAAATGGTAGAGAGAAGTAAGCAGAACTACAGAAATTATATACAGCAATATGGACAGAAAGAATAACAACAAAAAGTACTGAATAGCATGATTAGCATTTCTATATCTCTTTAAGGTTTGCAAACCTCTTCATATATGTTAACTCATTTAGATCCTCACAACAGCCCTGTGAGGTTGGTACTATTATTACCCCCATTTAATAGATGAGGAAATTGAGACTGAGAGATGTTAAGTGACTTGCCCAGGGTTAAACAGCTGATAAGAGTTTGAGGCAGGATTAGAACTCAGGACTTCCTAACTCCAGGGCCAATACTCTATCCTCTGTACCACCTACCTGCCAGCAATGGCATGTCAAATAATTAGAACAACTAAGTTTGGCCCTGGGGAAGACTTGAGAAATTGCACCTCTTTCTCCTCTTTATAGCAGTGTAGAACTATGGGTGTGGATTATTGTACATAGTGTCAAAAGTGATTAATTTGTTTGGCTTTGCTGAATTGATTTTTTTCCTCTTTATTTTTAAAAATCTTTATTATAAAGCATCCCTTGTAATAACATAATAGTTGGGGAGAGGAAGGGTGAATTGGAAATGAAGGCAATATAGAAACAAAAGATATCAAAGATAAATTTACAAAAAGAAAAATATTGGTATTAAAAGGATGGAATCTTGTTTAAATTCATAAAAAAGAACTTCAAAATTTCTCACAAGAAATATGGTCTACTATCTTCCTGCTATTCAATTCTAGGGCTGGTTCACGTTTGTGTGTGTCTCTGTAAGACATATACCGAGAGGAAGCTCATTGGATAATCCACCCAAATTCATATAACATGTACAGTAAGCATTCTTCATCCACTTGGTTTTTCCTTTGAGAATAGTTAGACCAACATCTTTTGAGTGATTATGGATCTCCTTTAAGAGACTCTGGAATGTTCTAGGGCTTGGCACAATTGGTATAATGACATCTACAAATGGGAACATCTGCAGTGAATCCCTTTTCAACTTGGACTGTGTTCTGGATTCCTTCCATGGCTGGTGAACAGTTCCAAGGATGTTGTCTTCTAGTCTTTTAAATGATCTCTGCTATCTCTCAAGGAATCTTGTGAGATACCTTGTTGGATGAGAAATTTTAAAGTGAAGTTTTGCTGTACCAAAATTTTTTAAAAAATCACTGTAAAAAGTAACTCAGCAAACTGTAAGAATCAGGTAAAAAGAGAGAACATCAGAACACCATATTTCTATCTGGACCAGCTTCAGTGTACCTCAATCTAGAGGCAGGGGGATGGATTAGATGATGTTTTGAATTTGTCTTTCAGATCAAGCGGTCTATGAAATAGATTCTTGGAACCATGCATCTAATATTCTACACACACACACACACATACCTCTTACCTTTCATAGTAAGCAGATTAAGTGATGAGTCATAGTTCTACAGAAAAGTAATTTGTAATTCTGAGCTATTATGGGAAAACTCTATGTGCTCCACTTTTAGAAAAATGGTCTTCAGTTACTATTTCAAGGGGACAAATTTTTCTTGAAGGACTCTGGAGTACAAGGGCACAGAGCAAGTGATTGTGAACTAGAGTAGATGAAAGAAAAAAAGGAACATTTTGGAGACACTTTCAGAAGGATAGGCTCTCTTCACTAAGAGGAAAGCCAGGCC